TGGGCTGGTGCTGCCGCCGCGAGTCGGAGCGGAGGAGCGCGTACTGCGCGGAGGAGTCGGCGACGCGGGAGAGGCGGCGGATCAAGTGCTTCATGGTGGTGGTGGTGGCTAGAGAGAGAAAATCAGAAAATAAAAATGGGGTTTTTTTAGTTTTTGATTTTGTTTGTGTTGGTGTTGTTGTTGGGGGTGGGTGGGTGGGTGAGGAATGAGAGAAGAGTGTGAGAGAGGGTATATATATAGTTGCCTGGATGAGAGTGTAGAGGAACACAATGGAAAGGTGATGATGCGGGAAGACTGGGAGGTACAGGTAAGCGTACTTGGCAGGTACGAGGGGTGAGAGAGAGAGAGTGTGTGTGAGAGAGAGAAGGGAAAGTAAAATATAAAAAATAAAAAAATAAAAAAATTTATTTTATGTAAAGTGTGATTATTAAATGCTATCAATGAGGTGTGGTTGGATTTATAATTTATTTATTTATTTATTTATTTTATTTGTTTATTTATTATGGTGTCTGTGAATTTATTGTTTTGCTTGGTTTTTTTCTTTGGCTTTTTTTTGTGTGTGGGGCTTGTTTACCACGCGAGTGGGGCTGGAGCGTGCTCAACCCCACAAGGGCAATCGGTGTTCATCATTTGGATGTCTCTTTCAGTATTTAACTTTTACCAAGTTATATAATTTTTTACGTAATTAATTATTTTATTATAAATTATGATTGGTATAATTTTTAAATCAAATATTATAAAAATTAATAAATTTATTATTTATACTGAGTTATTATATAAAATTATATTATAATCACTATATATTTATATGATTTGGTTTATATTAAATACGCTTTGAATTATATTTGAGTAATATTTTAGTTTATGTAATAAATGTATATGGTTTTTATATATAATATATATTTATTATAGTATTTATATCTATTATAAAAAGAATATATGTTAGTAATCATCTTTTTGGTCTCCACTATTTATTGGATCATTATATTTTTTGAATATAAAAAATAAAAAAATTATATCCTCTTTAAATAATTATCTGTAATTTTTAATATTTGTTTGTGTATAATTATTAAAGGCATAGAGTACATCGACTCTTCTAGTTAATAGATAAAGAGAATATTATTTTTCATTTTTTGTCACAATTACAGGAGATTATATCCTTAATTTTTAAGAAAAAGATAAATATTTTTATTAACTTTTATTAACCAATTTTAAATAATTGTTCACACTATTATATTAAATAGATATAAATATTTTTAAACATATAAATAATTTATATTGTAATTTTTTATTTATTAATAATTTATTTTAAAATATTAGTATTTAAATCATAAATTATTATGATAAATAAAAATTAAATTATATATAAAGTTAAAAATAAAATCTCACAAACGTTTTTGTTGAAGAAAAATTTCTAAACACTATCGCATAAGATAAAAATTTGTTTTAAGTGAGATCTTAAATAGAAATCTGTAATCTGATCTGTTTAAAGTCTAATTTAACCTAATCTATTTAATAAAAATATCAGGTTTAGACTTTTAAAAAAATATACATTTAAAAAGGATGAGCTTAGGTTTATAAAAATTTGTTAAGTCAATCTATTTAACTGTGATATAATAAAAATAATATATATATATATAATTATTAATAATATAATTATATAAATAAATTTTTAATACAAAAATTTAAATTATAAATATTTTTTTACATTTTTAGTATACTAAAACATTTTACATTCTTTGTTTGTACAAAATCAAGATATCAAAAATAAAAATTTTAATAACTACATTTTTGCATATTTTTTTCTTCATCTTCATGGTTGATATAAAAAATATTTAGAAAGTTTTGTTTTAAATAGATTATCTTCTAATTATAATCTATGTGTGAGTGTACGTTAGTGTACATGTGTATACATGAATTGTCCTTTAATTAGATTTTTTATTTTAAACTCTATATTTTAATAATAATAAAGTAAACTATTTTTGCATATAAATTAAGAAAGACTTAATATAAAAATTAAATAAATACTTATAATTGTATTTAAAAATATAATTATTAGCTTATTTAAAACTAAATTTATTGACTTATTTAACATTGTAAATACCAAAAAGATGTTTAAATAAATCAATTATAAAATAGAACTTTAAATAGGTTAATAAATCATGTTAGATTCTAAAAAAGATCAGACTAAATTTATAAAATAAAAAAATTAAGATAAATAATAAGTTAAACTAAAATTTTAATTTTATAAAATAAATTTGACCTATATATTTAAAATCTATACTAGCCTGACATGTTCTAAACCTATTGTCAGATAAGTTACATTTATTATAATTTTAAATACATTTTTGTTTCATTTTTAATTATTGTATAAATTAATTGTTTTTGAAATTTTTTATTTAATGGTGAATTTAGTTTAAAATTAATAACTATTAAATTTACTTAATAAAAAATTTAGTAATTTTTTTTATTTATAAGAATTATAATAACGATAATAAAATTTAAATTTAAGATTATGTATATGTTATTCTAATTTCTCATCAACTTAATAAAAAAAATTTAATTATTTTTTATTTTTTAATATATTTTAATAAAATAAGTATAAATATACAATCATACTTTATCTTTTTTACTTTCTTTGTCACTTTATTTTTCATTTTTTAATACATTGACAATGTTCTATTTTAATATTATAAAATTTATACTATTTATTGTATAAAAAAATATATTAAATAATAAATATATTAATATTATATTATTTATTTTATATTTATTAGAAGAAAAAGTAGAGTAAATTATTGAATTTTTGTTTTATTTAGAGATTACATATATCTTTTATAGAAGATGATATTGTTCATGTAAGGTAAAATTATTGTGGTTAGTAAAATAAAAAATAAAATACTAATATATTTATTATTTAATATATTTGTATAAAATAAATAACATAAAATTTATAATATTTAAATAAAAAAATAACGTAAGTAATGAATTAAAAAGTAATAAAAAAAAGACAAAGTTGGAAAGGAAATGAAAGATAAAAGGATTGTGTATTTATATTTATTGTATATATTAAATTATATAATTAATTTACGAAAGCATTTATTATTTAATAAATAAATTTATTATATATTGATTTTAAAGTATACTTAACATTAAATAAGAAATTTAAAAATACAATTCATTCATGCAATAATGTTTTATATAATCAAATTATATATATTAAACATGAATCTCTATCTTCATGTAAAAGTGCATTTAGAGGTTTTTCCTTGATAACAAGAGAGTTTGTATAATGTTACGCATAATAATTGGTGATTTAATTTATGTATGTCAATATTCAATATATGTAATACCTCGATTTTTATAAAATTATATTAATAATACATAGTATTTATTTTAATGTTTTAATGTGTTTATTAGAATAATTTTTAATATTATTTAGCTATTTGATTTAAGCTTTATTTTTATATAAAATATGTTATTTTTACTAAAAGGGAGAAATATATTTTATATTAATTATCTATTTTATGTGAACTCTATTTTAATATAAAGCATGAATTGTAATTAATATTTGGATTATTTTGTTATAAGATTATTTTTATGAAAATATGTTTTATGAAGAATTATGCTTATGTTATTTATTAAAATGGAGGAAATATGTTTAATTATTTTAATTATTTTATGAGAAGGTAAGGAAGGACGTTGTGGTTATTTGTTAATTTATTATTATTATTATTTTAAGTAAAAAGGGAGAAACAAGAGTCTACGTTTTTCATTCTTTGACTCTGTTCATTCTCTTTCTACACTCTTTGAAGACTAAGGAAAACCAGGAGAAGGAGAACAATTGGAGATTGCTATTTATCTTCTACTCATCAAGGTAAGGTGGAGTGAGAAACCTCACTTGGGGGTGTGAGAATATCTGTTGGGTAGCAGGTTTGACCCCAATCCCTTGTTTGATATACATGCTCTTAGGAACAAACATTTTTGAATGTTTTCTATTTTTATGTTTGAGTTTTCTGTTGTGTTCCTTGATGTTTGTTGAGTGTGAATATGCATTTAATTTCAAAAATAGGTAAGTTTTTATATGAATTAGAGTGTTTTATGGGCTCCTGTGGGAAACCCTATAAGAAACAATTAGGAATATGACCTCTTGACAAGAATTAAGGTAAATTATGCAAAATTGAGTATGGATTCATGTTTTGGTTATTATTTGGAGGATTTGTACCGATTGACTTGTTTTAAAACATGTTTGACGTGAAAAACATAAGATTTATGCGATGTTAAAAATGCAGGTTACGCTGGGGCACCAGGTAGGGATTCATGAGTAAGGCGGGGATTCATGAGTACTGGAACGAAGTCCCTAGGGACTCTCGCATCAGGCACTGTTGAGTCCCATCAAGCGTAGGTCTCTTGGAGGGCCTGCGCTGGGTGCGTGGAGAGCTGCGTTGGGCGGGCTTTTCCTCTTTAGGCACGACGTTTAATTCGTCAGGCGCGCTCGGGGCACGCTAGGCGTGTTATTCTACTTTTGGTGCGGCGTTTAGTGCACTAAGCATGAGTTGGGGCGTGCCAGGGGCGATCTCCATGATGTTTTGCATGTTTTAAGCTATGTTTGAAGGTACTAATGGGTGAGAACTACCTTATTATGGTGTTAATGCAAATGATGTGTTTCTATGAGCATGATGAGGATGAGAATCTCTCATATGTGACCTTATGACTATGAGTATGATAATGTGATATGAGAACAAGTAACATGATGAGATATGACAATTGAAATGTTGAGTCCATGAACATGTGAATATGTGACATGCATCATATGCATCTATGTGACGAGGTACGATATAGAGTACATCGTTAGGGAAGACACTTCAGGTGAAACATCTCGAAGGAGTCCTAGGGGATAGCGTGGTTTGGAAGTCCCAGTTCTGTCCATTTGTGTGCATGAGATGTATCTTGCGCAACTTTGCTATCCCAGTGAGACCCTAGCAGTACATCCTTCTAGTTGAGAGTGTGCAGTTGAGCCGACATGTACTCCTAGACTACTCCAAGTATGTTATTTCGACAACATACCAAGTGATATGTGATTATGAGACACGTGATTGGTGTCACATGCATGCATTTACGAGTCAAGTCCATGACATCATTGCATGATAAGTAAATGTCCATGTGTTTTAATGTATCTGTAACTTGTGTGGTATTTGTTATGATTGTGTGCGTGTTGCGCAACATTTATTTCTAGATCAAATGAGATGTTTGTCATCCTCTTGTTGCTCTATGTGTATTTTTACTGTGTTGTTGGTGATCATCAGCATGAGGATGTTGGTGATGAGGTTTAGTCTCATTGTTGGGTGAGGTTTGATAGGACACGTGACACC